ATTGAAAATGAAATACAGAAATATCTCATTTACATAAGTATTCACACCCCTGAGTCATTACATGTTAGAATCACCTTTGGCAGCGATTACAGCTGTGTGTCTTTCTGGGTAAGTCTCTAAGAGCGTTGCACACCTGGATTGTACAATATTTGCACATTATAATTGTTTTAATTATTAAATTCTTCAAGTTGGTTCTTGATCATTGCAGACAGCCATTTTCAAGTCTTGCCATAGATTTTCTGGCAGATTTAAGTCAAAACTGTAACTCGGCCACTCAGGAACATTCAATGTCGTCTTGGTAAGCAACTCCAGTGTATATTTGGCCTTGTGTTTTAAGTTATTGTCCTGCTGAAAGGTGAATTCATCTCCCAGTGTCTGTTGGAAAGCAGACGGAACTAGGTTTTCCTCTAGGACGTTGCCTGTGCTTAGATCCATTCTGTTTAATTTCACCCTAAAAAACTCTCTAGTCCTTGCCATAAACACGATGCTTGGAAATATGAAGAGTGGTACTCAGTGATTTGCCCCAAACATTACCATTTTATTCAGGACATAAAGTTCATTTCTTTGCCACATTGTTTGCCGTTTCAATTTTGGGCATTATTGCAAACATGATGCATGTTTTGTAATATTTTTATTCTGTACAGGCTTCCTTCTTTTCACTCTGTCATTTAGGATTTTGATTACTGGGGTCTGACATATAATGAAAAAGACATTACAGACAATATACATTACATACATTTAAAAACATTAACATGTAGTGTGTTTGTGTGTATCTCTCAGTTCCACATGTCAGTACATACACACAAATAGTAGGTCACATTTAAAGGTTAGTATTGTGGAGTAACTACAATGTTGTTGATCCATCCTCAGTTTTCTCCTATCACAGCCATTAAACTCTGTTTTAAAGTCACCATTGGCCTCATGGTGAAATCCCCACCATGCTCAAAGTTATATTCAATGTCAGCTTTTTTATTTTTACCCATCTACCAATAGGTGCCCTTCTTTGCGAGGCGTTGGAAAACCTCCCCGGTCTTTGTGGTTGAATCTCTGTTTGAAATTCACTGCTCGACTGAGGGGCTTTACAGATAATTGTATGTGTGGGGTACAGAGATGAGGTAGTCGTTCAAAAAATCATGTTAAACACTATTATTGCACACAGAGTGAGCCCATGCAACTTATTATGTGACTTGTTAAGCAAATGTTTACTTCTGAATGTATTAAGGCATGCCATAACAAAGGGGTTGAATACTTATTGACTCAAGATATTTCAGCTGTTAATTTTTAATTCATTTGTAAAACTTTTGAAAAACATAATTCCATTTTGACATTATGGGGTATATGTAGGCCAGTGACATACAATCTATATTTAATCCATTTTAAATTCAGGCTGTAACACAACAAAATGTGGAAAAAGTCAATGGGTGTGAATACTTTCTGAGGAAACAAATTCATATTTTGCAAATAATGTTTTTAACCGATATGTTCTTTATGGACATTTTATTCTGGCAATAGCAACAGTGATATGTATAAAAAAAAAGAAATAAAATATTATTATTGGCTATACATGGATGTACTGACTGTATGTGGTTATTTTCTGATGATTGTAATAATATCAACTCTGATTCTCTATATGTTCCCATTTGATACAATAAATTAACAGCTTTTTTTTTAAACTTTAATTTAAGGTGCTTAAGCGTCGTCTGACTTATGAGTTGGTGCATCATAGTCATGCAAATGCAAGAGTGCAAAATTTTTTTTTTTTTTAAAAGCAGATGAATGCCTAAGGATAGCAGCTAAGAAAATATGATGAAAAGTTCAATCAAACATTCAGAGGACACCTGAGGAAAAGCGGAAGTTATTTTTTTTTACATTCATAGAAATATGATGACTAGAAATGGAAAGGCCCATCAGAACAGGGGAGAATGAAAGGGATATGTTTGTTCTAGTAATTATATTTCTATGGTTACATTGCCTTGATTGCAGGTGTAGAAGGGTGAACGTCATGCTGGACGATTGCGTTCAGAATCGCTACAAAATATATTACACACAATCATAAATAATAATAATAATACATTTGAAAAGTATATACATAGCAAAGTAAACTGGAAAACAATAACACATTTATAGAAAGTAAACAGTATCTACAATACATAGAAAAGTACATTGGAAAATGATAACAGTTGAACATTAAATCATTAAAAATAAAAGTTAAATAATTTACAATAAAAGTAAAAGTTAAATAATTTACAATAAAAATAAAAGTTAAATAATTTACAATAAAAGTTAAAGTTAAATAGTTTACAATAAAAGTAAAACAAGAAGAGTTGTAACATTCTGGTAACTTTCCCCAAATTCCCAGAAATCCCGTTTGGAAGGGTTACAGGAATGTCCCCTAAAAACAACTGAAGTATTTGTATCACGCCTGGCCAGCTGTCACTCTGACCACATAAACACTACTGCAACTCTATCCCTTAAAGCCACAGTCTGTAATTCTCTGCTTGAAGGTATGCACAAATAAAGGAGTGTGGCTTTATTAATGATTGATGACTTGTGTGACCAAACTAACAATCCAGTAGTTCCAGAGCTCTGCTCCACTGAAGCTTCTAGAACACTCAGCAGAAATTATATCAATCATACCGCTGGGTGCGGTTGGTCTCTGGGCCTTCTAGGACTGTACGTGTGGTTGGTCTCTGGGCCTTCAGGACTGTACGTGTGGTTGGTCTCTGGGCCTTCAGGACTGTACGTGTGGTTGGTCTCTGGGCCTTCTAGGACTGTACGTGTGGTTGGTCTCTGGGCCTTCTAGGACTGTACGTGTGGTTGGTCTCTGGGCCTTCAGGACTGTACGTGTGGTTGGTCTCTGGGCCTTCTAGGACTGTACGTGTGGTTGGTCTCTGGGCCTTCAGGACTGTACGTGTGGTTGGTCTCTGGGCCTTTAGTTAAGTGCCCAGGCCAACTCGTAAGTTCTACTGTTGTTCATAATGAAATAGGGCTAGGTCAACTCTAAACTACAAAACCAAAGTAATCAAAATCCCAAATCTCCAAAGTGCCGATGCCAAAATGAAAGAGAGTGTGATTGAATATCTAAACATGTTAGACGAGTGGATGTGATCTTGTGGTCCCGTGTGGCTCAGTTGGCAGAGCACGGTGCTTGCAATGTCAGGGTTGTGGGTTCGATTCCCTGCTAAAATGCAAATACTACTATACTATCTTAGCCTACTGGTAACTTCACAGATGGAACTGTTGTACTCCTGAAATGCTTGTCCTGGAATTCCTCAGGGTTAAAACGTGCTGCTATATTCCAGAACTTTAAGAACATTTCAGAATATCAGCATAGACCACCATGAAACACAGCATCACAAAAGTCAGTCTAGGGCACGTCACATTGCGACGTCCCACGTGATTTTCCGCTAACGTTCAGGGGACGTTCCCAGGACTTCATATTGTTTGCCCGGGTACATATTGAACTAAACGAATTCCTCTAATTTATGTTGTCGTTTTTTTTAAAAAAACAAGTGAGAATGTTATGATCCGAATGTATTTATCATTTGAGCTCAATTGAAGAATTAAAAACAAATGATATCTGGAGTGCTGTTGATGTACTTGGCATGACAGTACGAAATATGATGTATAGTGTCTGGATGTTCCTCTCTGATACCCACGACATCCAGGCCACAGGTTTGTCTAATCTGACCCAGTTTCATGTGTCCCAAGTGGCACCCTATTCCCTATGGGCCTCTGTTCAAAAGTAGTGCACTACGAAGAGAATAGGGTACCGTTTGGGAGGCACGATCAGCCACATTCTGAGCGCTTCCAGTAGCCAATGAGAAACAGATTCTCTGCTTCCAGTAGCCAATGAGAAACCGATTCTGTAAATGGTAGAACAGATTTGCCAGTGCACTCACTGTCCTCCAGTGCCTGTACAATATGGTGCACTACAGGATTCACATGTTGCTGTTGGGTTTGGTTTTCTCTACTGTCAACAGAGGAAAATAAAATGCCAGAATTTAGCGGTTATATTTTCATATTTTTCCCCCCATCACAACATTTCTCCAAACGAAATCCTTGGGGGACAGACGGTTCAGAGTTTGTCGTTGTAAATCATACTGGAGCAGAAATTACGAGAAAAAACAACCATTTTCTTGCACATCCAGTAAAGCCTTCCATAGCACCAGTAGGCACGCGTGATGTTTGGGACACATTTTGCAGTTGGTTAAAACTGTAGTAGTATTGACAATATTAGCATCCGCAACTCAATACAACAGTCAAGCACAGCGGAGTTATAAATAATGTGCAACGTTCAGCTCACACTGAGTAGAAACGCAGGGTACAGTAAACCAGGCGTCAAAGACAGGGACGTTGTCTAGCCAAGAAATACAAAAAAACGCAATTAAACCATGCATTTTTACACGATTTAAATAGAGATAATTAAACCTCTGAATGGTAACATCTTCCCAGTAGTTCGACAAATGAACCAAAACGCTTTAACAAATCAGCATGCTTTGAGAGCAATATTAATTACAGTCATTTTGCATAAACAACATTATTATTGTCCATTCTTATTTTTTTTGGTAGCCACGTAAATACGTCAATAGAATCACTTAAGCAACTAGAAGAAACACTATCAGTGCCACAGTCAGACAGCCACGTAGAACTGTGACTGGAAGACAAGACCAACACAGAACACACAGCCATGTTGTGAGCTGCAACGGACCGGAACGGACCGGGAGTGTCTTATGTCATAGCAAGCTGCTATAGGCTAGCTGCCACATAGAGAAGAGCGACATAGAAATAGAATGACATAGAAAGGGAAAAAGGCCCTTAGGCCACAGCAATTTGATTGGTACACTCAATATGGCCGCCAGTCTTGTCCACCCGTTACGGACCATTGACTTGAATGGGGATGTCCGTTCTAGTCATTCTGTTTCTATGAGAGTAAGACGAGAAGGGAGCAGACAGTCAGTTGTGAACTGATCTGCAGCCCTTGTTCTGCATAGTAAACATTACAATTGGATAGGTAGGTCTCTCCCCCCATTCGTAGCCAGGACACGACACAGGACAGGCGTGACAGGGCACAGACAGGGCCCAGGGTTCCTGCTGGATGGAGAGCTGAACGGGGAGGTGGGGGACAGTAACAGAGATGGGAGCAGGGGACAGGGACAGGGGACAGGGACAGAGGATGGGTATGTGGACAGGGACAGGTACGGGGGACAGGGACAGAAGATGGATATGTGGACAGGGACAGGTACGAGGGACAGAATATGTTTATGTGGACAGGGACAGGTACGAGGGACAGAAGATGTTTATGTGGACAGGGACAGATACGAGGGACAGAAGATGTTTATGTGGACAGGGACAGGTACGAGGGACAGAAGATGTTTATGTGGACAGGGACAGGTACGAGGGACAGAAGATGTTTATGTGGACAGGGACAGGTACGAGGGACAGAAGATGTTTATGTGGACAGGGACAGGTACGAGGGACAGAAGATGTTTATGTGGACAGGGACAGATACGAGGGACAGAAGATGTTTATGTGGACAGGGACAGGTACGAGGGACAGAAGATGTTTATGTGGACAGGGACAGGTACGAGGGACAGAAGATGGATATGTGGACAGGGACAGGTACGAGGGACAGAAGATGTTTATGTGGACAGGGACAGGTACGAGGGACAGAAGATGTTTATGTGGACAGGGACAGGTACGAGGGACAGAAGATGTTTATGTGGACAGGGACAGGTACGAGGGACAGAAGATGTTTATGTGGACAGGGACAGGTACGAGGGACAGAAGATGGATATGTGGACAGGGACAGGTACGAGGGACAGAGGATGGGTATGTGGACAGGGACAGGGACAGGGGACAGGGACAAAAGATGGGTATGTGGACAGGGACAGGTACGAGGGACAGAAGATGGGTATGTGGATATGGACAGGTACGAGGGACAGAAGATGGGTATGTGGACAGGGAGGGCCTCAGGTCTGGTGACAGAAGAGGGCCTCTTTGGTGTGCAGAAGGGAACATGTGATCTGAGTGCATATGTGTGTGTGTGCTGGCGTGTATATCAAGTGTACTGTGTGTATGTGTGTGTGTATGCTGCAGACGAGGTTCTGTATGTGTTACAGGGACCTAACATCACATGACTAACGCTAAGGCCACTCGTGGTGATATCTCCTGCCATTCTTCTTTCTCTCCTTCTGCAAGTGCTCCAGCTCTGCTTCGTACATCATCTCCTGCATCAGGTACTTCTCCCTCCGCATGCGGTCACACAGACTCTTGGGCATGTCTGGGATCAGGTACGCGATGAACGACTTGATGCCAAACACCAGGTGCTGCGGGAGGCAATAGAGGAAGAAGACTTTGTTGTCCATTGTCATTTTCAGATCACAGAAAATCAACACAGGCAAACAAACTCCCTGAGGGGTTTTAAGGGGTAGGTTCCTTGCTCAAGGGAATATGGGCAGGACATAGCATCTGGGATATCTAGAATCCCCAGAGGACTGGTAAACCTCCAATTTAAGCCTACTAGAAAGTGTGTGCCCTCAGGCCCTGAGGGAAGCAAAAGTTATTCCCCTACCTAAGAATAGTAAAGCCCCCTTAACTGGCTCAAATAGCCGACCAATCAGCCTGTTTCCAACACTTAGTAAACTTTAGGAAAAAATGTTGTTGACCAGATAAAATGCTATTTTACAGTAAACAAATTGACAACAGACTTTCAGCACGCTTATAGGGAAGGACATTCAACAAGCACAGCACTTACACAAATGACTGATGATTGGCTGAGAGAAATTGATGATAAAAAGTTTGTGGGGGCTGTTTTGTTAGACTTCAGTGTGGCTTTTGACATTATCGATGATAGTCTGTTGCTGGAAAAACGTATGTGTTATGGCTTTATACCCCCTGCTATATTGTGGATAAAGAGTTACCTGTCTAACAGAACACAGAGGGTGTTCTTTAACAGAAGCCTCTCCAACAAAATCCAGGTAGAATCAGGAATTCCCCAGGGCAGCTGTCTAGGCCCCTTACTTTTTTCAATCTTTACTAACGACATGCCACTGGCTTTGAGTAAAGCCAGTGTGTCTATGTATGCGGATGACTCAACACTATACACGTCAGCTACCACAGCGACTGAAATGACAGCAACACTTAACAAAGAGCTGCAGTTAGTTTCAGAATGGGTGGCAAGGAATAAGTTAGTCCTAAATATTTCAAAAACTAAAAGCATTGTTTTGGGACAAATCATTCACTAAACCCTAAACCTCAACTAAATCTTGTAATGAATAATGTGGAAATTGAGCAAGTTGAGGAGACTAAATTGCATGGAGTAACCCAGGATTGTAAACTGTCATGGTCAAAACATATTGATACAACAGTAGCTAGGATGGGGAGAAGTCTGTCTATAATAAAGCACTGCTCTGCATTCTTAACAGCACTATCAACAAGGCAGGTCCTACAGGCCCTAGTTTTGTCGCACCTGGACTACTGTTCAGTCGTGTGGTCAGGTGCCACAAAGAGGGACTTAGGAAAATTGCAATTGGCTCAGAACAGGGCAGCACGGCTGGCCCTTGGATGTACACAGAGAGCTGGCATTAATATTATGCATGTCAATCTCTCCTTGCTCAAAGTGGAGGAGAGATTGACTTCATCACTACTTGTATTTGTGAGCGGTATTGACATGTTGAATGCACCGAGCTGTCTGTTTGAACTACTGGTGCACAGCTCGGACACCCTGCCTGAAACACCTAATCAGTGTCTGAGACAGAGACAGAGATCAATACAGACAGACAGACAGACAGAGATCAAGACAGACAGAGCGTGGGCGTACTGACATACCTCAGAGACGAAGATTAAGGTGAGTCTTGCAGCCAGGACGTGCCAGACAGACAGACAGACAGACAGACAGACAGACAGACAGACAGACAGAGCGTGGGCGTACTGACGTACCTCGAAGACTATGATGAAGGCTAGTCTTGCAGCCAGGACGTGACAGACAGACAGACAGACAGACAGACAGACAGACAGAGCGTGGGCGTGCTGACCTACCTCGAAGACTATGATGAAGGCTAGTCTTGCAGCCAGGACGTGCCAGACAGACAGACAGACAGACAGACAGACAGACAGACAGAGCGTGGGCGTGCTGACCTACCTCGAAGACTATGATGAAGGCTAGTCTTGCAGCCAGGACGTGCCAGACAGACAGACAGACAGACAGACAGACAGAGCGTGGGCGTGCTGACCTACCTCGAAGACTATGATGAAGGCTAGTCTTGCAGCCAGGACGTGCCAGAACTGCAGAGTGAAGTCGTACGGTACTGGGCTCCAGGGGGAGGCTCTGTAGTCTCTGTACCTGCAGTATCTACTCTGCTCCTCACTCACGTTCCAGCGCACGCCCATGTCAAACACCGACAGGCTGCTGTTCATATAGCCTCGCAGACACCTGCCATGGAGAGAGATGGGGGGTCAGAAACCAAGACACTGACAGGCTGCTGTTCATATAGCCTCGCAGACACCTGCCATGGAGAGAGATGGGGGGGTCAGAAACCAAGACACCGACAGGCTGCTGTTCATATAGCCTCGCAGACACCTGCCATGGAGAGAGATGGGGGGGTCAGAAACCAAGACACCGACAGGTTGCTGTTCATGTAGCCTCGCAGACCCCTGCCATGGAGAGAGATGGGGGGGTCAGAAACCAAGACAAACTGGAACACAAACTGGAACACAAACTGGAACACAAACTGGAACACAAACTGGAACACAAACTGGAACACATGAACCAAGGAACCAAATCTTGTGTGCGATAACTAACTAGAGACTAGTGTGGCTGTAGAATGGTCTGCCCTTGATGTAGGGTTGGGTAGGTTACTTTCTAAATGTAATCCGTAACAGTTGCTAGTTACCTGTCCAAAATTGTAATCAGTAATGTAACTTTTGGATTACCCAAACTCAGTAACATCATCTGATTACTTTCAGTTACTTTTGGATGACTTTCCCCTTAAGAGGCATTAGAAGAAGACACAAATGAATATCACCAATTTAACTCTATTGCAGGATAAATCAATGTTGGAGTTTACATAGCTGACCATAAATGGATGTTGCATTTGACTTTATGGGTTGGTAATGTACAGCTTCGTAAGAAGCATTTCAAGGTCCTGGAGTGGCCTAGCCAGTCTCCAGATCTCAACCCCATAGAAAATCTTTGGAGGGAGTTGAAACAGCTCTTTGGTCTTGGCCATAGTGGAGTTTGGAGTGTGACTGTTTGAGGTTGTGGACAGGTGTCTTTTATACTGATAACAAGTTCAAACAGGTGCCATTAATACAGGTAACGAGTGGAGGACAGAGGAGCCTCTTAAAGAAGAAGTTACAGGTCTGTGAGAGACAGAAATCTTGCTTGTTTGTAGGTGACCAAATACTTATTTTCCACCATAATTTGCAAATAAATTCATAAAAAATCCTACAATGTGATTTTCTGGATTTATTTTTCTCAATTTGTCTGTCATAGTTGACGTGTACCTATGATGAAAATTACAGGCCTCTCTCATCTTTTTAAGTGGGAGAACTTGCACAATTGGTGGCTGACTAAATACTTTTTCCCCCCACTGTAGGCTTCTTCTAACCCATTGCTTTCTACTACAGATAATAATACGATTAGACTACATACTGTATATCTTTACATTAAAAACCAAAGTCTGTCAGATTTTCAGTCATTCCAATTAATTGAATACCCCTTGATCTTCAAGAATAGGACTTGGAAATATGAAAATATAGATTAGCTAAATAGTTTTACCTGAGTATAACCCCAAATGAAGGACTTATTAGCCTACTCTGCTGTTTATGATTTTGTTGTCATGGAGGACTGATTGGGCTCATTGCTTTAAGTTTAAAAATAAATGCTGCTCTCATTGAATGGTACACTTTCAGCACTACCGAAAAGTGCTATTTGCATGTGAGAAATGTATGCCATACGCGGCATTTGCTATAGGCCTATTGTTCACGTTTCTGTTGGTGACACCTTGATATCTCAATAACTTGCAGCTGTTTAAGTCTATCAAAAGTGGGCGAGTTTGAGCATGTGTCCGTCTGTGGCCTATGGATTTTTTTGTTGAATCAGCACGGATTAGATTGAGCAATAGAAAACCCACTTGTTGTCTCCTTAAATTAAACTTGTTTTTGACAATATGTACAATACCACGGAGGTGGTTAGAAGGGACGAATACCCCTCAAACTTTTACTCCATAGGCTGGGATCCGCGCAATGCAGCTGTTGCAAGACCGCATTTGTCACCGTCTTTCCACTGGTCGCAAAAAACAATGATTGATAGATAGGACGCTTAAACTTCTTCAATTCAACCATTATTCTGTTAAAATTTTACACATATACATTTGTGAACAGCCATCCACAACAACCACAACCCGTAAGGCGCATATAGCTAAATGAGAGAGCAGCAGACCTCTGGTCCCATAACAGACAAAAATGACATTTGTGGTGCTTTTTATTTTACATTTTACATTTACGTCATTTAGCAGACGCTCTTATCCAGAGCGACTTACAGTTAAGTGAATACATATATATATATTTTTTATACTGCCCCCCTCCGTGGGAATCAAACCCACAACCCTGCCGTTGCAAACGCCATGCTCTATCAACTGAGCTACATCCCTGCCGGCCATTCCCTCCCCTACCCTGGACGACGCTGGGCCAATTGTGCGCCGCCCATGAGTCTCCCGGTCGCGGCCGGCTGCGACAGAGCCTGGATTCGAACCAGGATCTCTAGTGGCACAGTTAGCACTGCGATGCAGTGCCTTAGACCACTGCGCCACTCAGGAGTACCATCTTGCCTCAGCTGGTCACCTATTTTAAAAGAATAGTGAGGGATTCCTTTATTCACCTTTAAACAGGTAGAGAATGATGCACTTCCAGGCATTCACACATTTTTTTTCATTTGAACCATTTTATGTCAAGGATGTACTAAGTGCCTTGCAAAAAAATTTATGTAAAAAAAAAATCCACAGGAGCGGATTCGCTTGATCCCTTCCTTACTCCTGCAGCTTTCTGCCCCCCCTCATTGTAGAACCTTTGACCCACATTTTTTTATTTAACAATTGCTTCTGGTGCTATCCCTAAGATCAGGAAGGCGGTGCATGTCCTCTCCCTACATAAAGGCGGGGATCCTAGATAACTACCGCCCAATTTATAAACTACTGTATCTTGCCTTGCAAAAAAATATTAGAATCACAAACTCGCAAACTCTCAGCTAAGAACTTTTTTTAAACTTAAACTGATATTCTTAATGCCAGTCTGGTTTTAGACCTGGACAGCAGCTACACTTGTCTTAAATGATGTGTTCAATTGTTTAGATCATAGGAATCACTGTGCTGCCTTATTTATATACCTGTCCAAGGCCTTTGTTACTGTCGACCATCCCCTACTCATTCAAAGGTTATCTGAAATGGGCCTCGACCAGGCGTCTTGCAAATGGTTTGGGAACTTTCTGTCAGACAGGACACAAACGTGTGCTTTCTGATGGTGTCATGTTACCTCGATTTAACTGAAGGTGTCCCACAGGGGTTGATTTTGGGACCTGTACTCTTCACTATTTATATACACCTTTCACAGAGCATTATTCACACAGGTATCTGCACTGAACAAAAATATAAAACGCAACATGTAAAGTGTTTTACCATGTTTCATGAGCTGAAATAAAAGATCCCTGAAATTTTCCAAACGCAAAAAAATTTTTTTTCTTAAAAACGTTGTGCACAAATTTGTGTACCTCCCTGTTAGTGAGCATTTCTCCTTTGCCAAGATAATCCATCCACCTGACAGGTGTGGCATATCAAGAAGCTGATTAAACAGCATGTCCATTACACAGGTGCACCTTGTGCTGTGGACAATAAAATGCCACTCTAAAATGTGCAGTTTTGTCACACAACAGAATACCACAGATGTCTCAAGTTTTGAGGGAGCGTGCAATTACATTTTACATTTTAGTCATTTAGCAGACGCTCTTATCCAGAGCGACTTACAGTTAGTGAATACATATTTTTTTATACTGGCCCCCCGTGGGAATTGAACCCACAACCCTGGCGTTGCAAACGCCATGCTCTATCAACTGAGCTACATCCCTGCCGGCCATTCCCTCCCCTACCCTGGACGACGCTGGGCCAATTGTGTGCCGCCCATGAGTCTCCCGGTCGCGGCCGGCTGCGACAGAGCCTGGATTCTAACCAGGATCTCTAGTGGCACAGTTAGCACTGCGATGCAGTGCCTTAGACCACTGTGCCACTCAGGAGTAAACAGCAATTGGCATGCTTACTGCAGGAATGTCCACCAGAGCTGTTGCCAGAGAATTTAATATTAATTTCTCTACCATAAGCCACCTCCAACATCGTTTTAGAGAATTTGGCAGTACGTCCAACCGGGCTGACAACTGCAGACCACGTGTATGGCGTTTGCTGATGTCAACATTGTGGACAGATGGTGGCAGTGGGGTTATGGTATGGACAGGCATAAGCTACGGACAACGAACACAATTGCATTTTATCGGTGGCAATTTGAATGCACAGAGATACTGTGACGAGATCCTGAGGCCCATTGTCGTGCCAGTCATCCACCGCCATCACCTCATGTTTCAGTATGATAATGCACCGCCCCATGTTGCAAGGATCTGTACACTTCCTGAAAGCTGAAAATGTCCCAGTTCTTCCATGGCATGCATACTCTCACCAGACATGTCACCCATTAAGCATGTTTGGGATGCTGTGGATCGACGTGTACGACACCGTGTTCCAGTTCCCACCAATATCCAGCAACTTTGCACAGCCATTGAAGAGGAGTGGGATAACATTCCACAGGCCCCAATCAACTGCCTGATCAACTCTCGGCAAAGGAGATGTGTCGCGTTGCATAAGGCAAATTGTGGTCACACCAGATACTGATCCACGCCCCTACCTTTTTTTTAAAAGGTATCTGTGACCAACAGATTAGGGTTTAATATTTTCCCGGTATTTTACAAATGTTCCATCCCGAGAATAAATAATTTTTCTCCAGGGCAACCCAGTATTTCCCGCCAAAACCAGAAGTGTCTGGATTTGATTAGAGCTTTGATTGAAAATTCAAGCCTGATGCAACCTGAGCCTGATTAAATACATTTTATGAGCACTACATTAAAGACATTTAATGAGGCCAAGCCCAAAAAAGGCCAAATGATTGTGCCGTTATCCAATACATGATATAGGCTACTGCACATTAAGCACGACAGAAAAACATAAAAGCCCATAGATGTAGCTAGCTACAGTGAGGGAAAACAGTATTTGATCCCCTGCTGATTTTGTACGTTTGCCCACTGACAAAGAAATGATCAGTCTATAATTTTAATGGTAGGTTTATTTGAACAGTGAGAGACAGAATAACAACAAAAAAATCCAGAAAAACTAATGTAAAAAATGTTATAAATTGATTTGCATTTTAATTAGAGAAATAAGTATTTGACCCCCTCTCAATCAGAAAGATTTCTGGCTCCCAGGTGTCTTTTATACAGGTAACGAGCTGAGATTAGGAGCACACTCTTAAAGGGAGTGATCCTAATCTCAGTTTGTTACCTGTATAAAAGACACCTGTCCACAGAAGCAATCAATCAATCAGATTCCAAACTCTCCACCATGGCCAAGACCAAAGAGCTCTCCAAGGATGTCAGGGACAAGATCGTAGACCTAAACAAGGCTGGAATGGGCTACAAGACCATCGCCAAGCAGCTTGGTGAGAAGGTGACAACAGTTAGTGCGAATATTCGCAAATGGAAGAAACACAAAATAACTGTCAATCTCCCTCGGCCTGGGGCTCCATGCAAGATCTCACCTTGTGGAGTTGCAATGATCATGAGAACGGTGAGGAATCAGCCCAGAACTACACGGGAGGATCTTGTCAATGATCTCAAGGCAGCTGGGACCATAGTCACCAAGAAAACTATTGGTAACACACTACGCCGTGAAGGACTGAAATCCTGCAGCGCCCGCAAGGTCCCCCTGCTCAAGAAAGCACATATACATGCCTGTCTGAAGATTGCCAATTAATATCTGAATGATTCAGAGGAGAACTGGGTGAAAGTGTTGTGGTCAGATGAGACCAAAATGGAGCTCTTTGGCATCAACTCAACTCACTGTGTTTGGAGGAGGAGGAATGCTGCCTATGATGCCAAGAACACCATCCCCACCGTCAAACATGGAGGTGGAAACATTATGCTTTGGGGATGTTTTTCTGCTAAGGGGACAGGACAACTTCACCACATCAAAGGGACGATGGACGGGGCCATGTACAGTCAAATCTTGGGTGAGAACCTCCTTCCCTCAGCCAGGGCATTGAAAATGGGTCGTGGATGGGTATTCCAGCATGACAATGACCCAAAACACACGGCCAAGGCAACAAAGGAGTGGCTCAAGAAGAGGCACATTAAGGTCCTGGAGTGGCCTAGCCAGTCTCCAGACTTTAATCCCATAGAAAATCTGTGGAGGGAGCTGAAGGTTCGAGTTGCCAAACGTCAGCCTCGAAACCTTAATGACTAGGAGAAGATCTGCAAAGAGGATTGGGACAAAATCCCTCCTGAGATGTGTGCAAACCTGGTGGCCAACTACAAGAAACGTCTGACCTCTGTGATTGCCAACAAGGGTTTTGCCACCAAGTACTAAGTCATGTTTTGCAGAGGGGTCAAATACTTATTTCTCTCATTAAAATGAAAATCAATTTATAACATTTTTGACATGCGTTTTTCTGGATTTTTTTGTTGTTATTTTGTCTCTCACTGTTCAAATAAACCTACCATTAAAATTATAGACTGATCATTTCTTTGTCAGTGGGCAAACGTACAAAATCAGCAGGGGATCAAATACTTCTTCACTCACTGTAGCTAAATATAAGGCAAATACTGCATTGAATGTATTACCTGAAAGAGGTAGGCTAGGACATCTATATATATATAGGGCTATATATCAATCTAGAACAGGATGATCTATTTTGGATGCAATTTGAATGGAATTGATGGCGAGAGAGAAAGACTGCGAGAGAGTGCTCGCTCGTGCACTGATTTAAAGCAACGATATAGGAGTGTTTTACAATTCTGCAGCTGCAATTTTTTTTAAAAGTATCTTGGCCCCTGAAAGCCAGATGGAGACGCGCATTCGGTCTATATATAACTGTACCATAGGCTATGCTGCAGCAAATGTAGGTCTACCTCTCACAATAAAAAAAGGTTACCATGATGACATGATAGGTCTACATAATGAGATGGGCTGTCGGTCCCCACCCTGAGCATTGATAATTCACCATGCAGTGACCCGAGAGAAAGCCGTAGAGAATCCAGATTTAGACTTTGCATATAACTTAACAGTTCCATTTCACGTCATGCTGTTCATATAAATAATGTATTATAATTTACTGGTTTCTCACAGTTATTTATCCCAGGAAAAGGGAGTGGTCCTGGGAGGTAAATCTCGGTAACCGGTTCGTTCAACCCTACAACAGACGCATATCTGTATCCTAGTATGTGAAATCCATAGATTAGAGGCCTAATGAATTTATTTCAATTGACTGATTTCCTCATATGAACTGTTACTCAGTAAAATCTTTGAAAATGTTGCGTTTATATATTTTTTCTGTATAAATAATATTGGTCTGTCTGCAAAAACCTGTAACATTCATCTGTATGCAGATTGCCCCTACTGCTGACCAGGATAAATTAGAGCGGCAATCTGATTTTGTTGCCTTGCAGAAAGCCCTTGTTTATTTAAAATGGGTACTTAATGCGGAAAAAACTAAATGTATGTTGTTTTCTAATTCTCTTAGAAATATTTCAGATGGTTTACACATTTATGCATTGGATGGTTCTCTCATGGAGCAGGTTCCCGCCTATAAATATCTGGCCTTTTAAATTGACAAAAATGTTACGTTTAAAAAAAAAAACATACGGATGAGCTAGTTAAGAAGCTGAGATTTAAAAGTAGGCTTCTTTTATAGAAATAGATCATGCCTCTCCCTAAACAGCAGGAAGCAGATTATACAGGCATTAAGGTGACACCATTTACCAGAATGCAACAGACACTATTCTAAAACACTTGGATGCAGTGTACCATAGCGCGGTTCGCTTTATCACAGGTGACAGGTTTATATATATATATATCTTTTTTAATTTTTTTTAAGAATATTTGATTTCAAATTTACAAACAACGTCTACATCTCCTCTGCTCAGAGCCACATGCTCACATCCCCACTGCCTGCATTATTGTTTGCCACTTGGCCTTAAATTGTACCGGATTAAAAGTACATTTACATTGTAAAACTTCTGACAGCCAACTTTCTAGCTCCGCCCATAACTTTTGGACTTCATAGCATTCCCAGAAGGCATGGATTATTGGGAATGGAGTCATTGTTAGTTTTACACTTGAGACATGACTCTGCCGTTGTGCTGTAGAATTTGTGAATTTTGTCTCTTGTATAATACATTCTATACGTTGGTTTTTTACTGGATTACATCTTAGCTAATAACTGTCATTTCGTTAGGTATGCTCCAACTATCCATCCATTTTGTGCCAACATCAGTTATTTTTAAGTCTTGGTTCCAATAGTTTCTATTTTTTTTTCTAAGAAATTGTCGGTTGGATCGGCTCTCTGCAACGTTTTGTATATCTTACCTCAGATAAGATTCCCTCAAGGTTGCTCTGATGTCCAAAAAGATTTCAAAATCGAAATTTCGTGATATGCACTTTTTCATTCTGTCATGGAAATAAATGTATTTCCTGTTACCAAGTCATTTTACAGTTTCTATTCCTTTAGTTTTCCACGTGGACCAATTTATCGGTGAATTCTGAAAAGCTATCCAAGGATTGTTCCATAACGTTGTGTTTTTAGGGAGTGATATTGTTTATTGTAGAATACGTTTAATTTTATTCCATATTGTTATAGTGTTCTTAACTATGAAGTTGTTCATGTTCTAAGCTTTATCCTATGAACAGGTGACAAGTTTAATACTCATCACTGCATCCTTTATCAGAAGGTCGGCTGGACGGCTCTAAATTCCCGTGGATCACTTCATTTCTCCCTTTTTGTTTACAAAGCTCTGCTGCACGAGCTTCAAACATATCTCACTTCTCTGTTAGAGTATATAAATACGAGGCATCAAACCCGCTCACAGGGTTGGTTAACTCTCGAGGTCCCTCGTGTTGCTACCAACCTCGGTATATCAGCCTTTAGTTTGAATAATTTGCTAATTTGCATTACATCTTGAGGCCCTGGTGCCAAGAGGGCAGTTTAGAACGCTGATGCGGAATGAATTCACGGAGGTTTGTGAGTGTTTTGGTTGGTTGTAATAACGTATTTGTGTTGTTGAAATGTAGCGTATCTGCAACGGCTGTATCTTGTAGATTATCTTTGATGTTTTATTGAATTATCATGTTGATTTGTGAATTGTTTGTTCTCAGGGCACCGTTGAGAAAGAGACCCTGCTCTCAATTGGGCTCATCTGAATAAATAAAAGCTAAAAATACGATGGACTCTTACCAACTGAGCCACAACAACCAACTAATACCGTGACACAAAGTGTCCCTGTAGAATGGCCAGAGCATTCTTTAAATGAACCGACGCCACAAGGTATAATCTGAGTGGATAGATGGACCTACTTCTCGTGGTGGTATCCCTTGTCCACACAGGGTCCGTATCTGAACGCGTAGACGAAGCGGGGGATGTAGTCGGAGGTGATGGCGATGACGAAGGCGTTGGTGATGACAGCCAGCACGCCGATCCCCTCCAGGATACCATACCAGATACCTGATGGGAGAACACAGCAGCACATTGGGCAACATGCTTCTACTCTCTAGCTATCTTTACCAGTAATCTAAAGCTACTCTGGGGGAGGAAGTGTTCAATTCTCAACTAAACAGCAGATACTTTGTCTCCATCGCTCTCAAACGCTCTTGGTAAAATCCCTGCCTCCACTTGCACCTCAGGACAGTTTCCCCATCTGATTAGCATTGTGTAATACACTTAACAGATGGAAGAAATAACTGACCTATATCTGTGGCTGTATTACTAACCTATATCTGTGGCTGTATTACTGACCTATATCTGTGGCTGTATTACTGAGCTATATCTGTGGCTGGATTACTGAGCTATATCTGTGGCTGTATTACTGACCTATATCTGTGGCTGTATTACTGACCTATATCTGTGGCTGTATTACTGAGCTATATCTGTGACTGTATTACTGACCTATATCTGTGGCTGTATTACTGACCTATATCTGTGGCTGTATTACTGATCTATATCTGTGGCTGTATTACTGACCTATATCTGTGGCTGTATTACTGACCTATATCTGTGGCTGTATTACTGACCTATATCTGTGGCTGTATTACTGACCTATATCTGTGGCTGTATTACTGACCTATATCTGTGGCTGTATTACTGACCTATATCTGTGGCTGTATTACTGACCTATGTCTGTGGCTGTATTACTGACCTATATCTGTGGCTGTATTACTGAGCTATATATGTGGCTGTATTACTGACCTATACCTGTGGCTGTATTACTGACCTATATCTGTGGCTGTATTACTGACCTATATCTGTGGCTGTATTACTGACCTATGTCTGTGGCTGTATTACTGACCTATGTCTGCGGCTGTATTACTGACCTATGTCTGCGGCTGTATTACTGACCTATATCGGAGGCTGTATTACTGACCTATATCTGTGGCTGTATTACTGACGTATGTCTGTGGCTGTATTACTGACGTATGTCTGTGGCTGTATTACTGACCTATATCTGTGGCTGTATTACTGACCTATATCTGCGGCTGTATTACTGACCTATGTCTGTGGCTCTGGCAGGCATGGGTCTCCTCCACTGGGTGACAAACTTGTAGGCGTCCAGTCGTATCTCGATGATGTTGTTGAGCAGAGCCAGGAGAGGAGCCAATGGGAACGCAGCCACAAAGATGGTGGTGAAACCAAACTGGAGAACTGAGAAGAAGAAGAAGAAGAAGAAGAAGAAGAAGAAGAAGAAGAAGAAGAAGAAGAAGAAGAAGAAGAAGAAGAAAAGAAAAAGAAGAAGAAGAAGAAGAAGAAGAAGAAGAAGAAATGGTTATAATGGTGGGTTTGAACATCCTGTTGTTGACCTCAGCAGAATACTAACATCCTGTGTTTGACCTCAGCAGAAGACTAACATCCTGTGTTTGACCTCAACAGAAGACTAACTTCCTCTGTTTGACCTCAGTAGAATACTAACTCAATACAGGCAAAGGGCAATGTCACAGATTTAACAACAACCACATTGTATTTTTATTTTTTTTAAGAAACCCCCACAGAACAATCAAGAACCACATTTAAATAAGCGTTATTCTCTGGGCTTTGTACTAAACTGTAACATTTGTATATAAAAATAAAATAATCAAAACAGTAAAATGTACCATTTATTTAACAATTACTTAACCAGGCAAGTAATTTGAAAAGCAGCTTATTTATTTCAAGGTAACATAGCTGATATGTCTTACCCATCTCCAGGTACTCGTCCACCAGTCCGTGGGCGTTCATGGGCTGCAGGTTCCAGTCTTTGTCCCATTGAGGAAGCTGTACTTTGTTCTCCACATTCTGTCCCCCTCGTATCCTCTCTTCCCTCTCTGTCTGCTTGATCTTCCTCGAGACCACCAGTTCTGAAGCAGACTGAAAAGAGAGGGGGGGGGGGTGGGGGGGGGGGGGGGGAGTAGGAGAGGGGGGAGAGGAGAGAGGGGGAGAGAGAGAGAGAGATGAGAGAGAGACGAGAGAGAGAGAGAGAGAGAGGAGAGAGACGAGAGAGAGAGGACAGAGAGAGAGAGAGAGAGAGAGAGAGAGAGAGAGAGAGAGAGATCGAGAGAGATTGAGAGAGAGAGAGAGTGAGAGATTGAGTGAGAGAGAGACAAAGATTAACAAATTCAATCCCTTCTAGACAATTTCCTGGACAAAATGTTTCACTGTAATAGTGAAGGTGTAAACTTGGCAGTAGAATACCTATATAGTATATTTGACCTCTCAGCTTCCCTATCAAATCTAAAAATGTCAAGCAGACAACCTAAGAAAATTAACAACAATGACAAATGGTTTGATGAAGAACGCAAAAACCTAAGAAGGAAATTGAGAAACCTTTCCAACCAAAAACATAGAGACCCAGAAAACCTGAGCCTACGCCTTTACAATGGTGAATCACTAAAACAATACAGAAATACACTACGGAAAAAGAAGGAACAGCACGTCAGAAATCTGCACAAAGTAATTGAAGAATCCATAGAAAACACACACATTTCTTTCCACAGGGCCGTGGGGTGAGACAGGGATGAAGCTTAAGCCCCACCCTCTTCAACATATATATCAACGAATTGGCGAGGGCACTAGAACAGTCTGCAGCACCCGGCCTCACCCTACTAGAATCTGAAGTCAAATGTCTACTGTTTGCTGATGATCTGGTGCTTCTGTCCACAACCAAGGAGGGCCTACAGCAGCACCTAGATCTTCTGCACAGATTCTGTCAGACCTATGTACAGACTCAGTGAGCATAGTCTTGCTATTGAGAAAGGCTCCCGAAGGCAGACTTGGCTCTCAAGAGAAGACAGGCTATGTGCACACAGCCCACAAAATGAGGTGGAAACTGAGCTGCACTTCCTAACCTTCTGCCAAATGTATGACCACATTAGAGACACATATTTCCCTCAGATTACACAGACCCAAAAATCAAATTTTGATAAACTCCCATATATATTGGGTGAAATACCACAGTGTGCAATCACAGCAGCAAGATTTGTGACCTGTTGCCACAAGAAAAGAGCAACCAGTGAAGAACAAACACCATTGTAAATACAACCCATATTTATGTTTCTTTATTTTCCTTTTTGTACTTTAACTTTAATTAATACATTTTTTTATATTGTATCTTTTTGGGGGGTAGATCAGCTTTAATATTGCAGATAGATTGTAACTTCCATCAATGTAATTGTCTGCATCACTTTTTTTTCTCGCAAATATACATACATATACATATATACAGTGGGGAGAACAAGTATTTGATACACTGCCGATTTTGCAGGTTTTCCTACTTACAAAGCATGTAGAAGTCTGTAATTTTTTTATCATAGGTACACTTCAACTGTGAGATGGAATCTAAAACAAAAATCCAGAAAATCACATTGTATGATTTTTAAGTAATTAATTTGCATTTTATTGCATGACATAAGTATTTGATCACCTACCAACCAATAAGAATTCCGGCTCTCACAGACCAGTTAGTTTTTCTTTAAGAAGCCCTCCTGTTCTCCACTCATTACCTATATTAACTGCACCTGTTTGAACTCGTTACCTTTATAAAAGACACCTGTCCACACACTCAATCAAACAGACTCCAACCTCTCCACAATGGCCAAGACCAGAGAGCTGTGTAAGGACATCAGGGATAAAATTGTAGACCTGCACAAGGCTGGGATGGGCTACAGGACAATAGGCAAGCAGCTTGGTGAGAAGGCAACAACTGTTGGCGCAATTATTAGAAAATGGAAGAAGTTCAAGATGACGGTCAATCACCCTCGGTCTGGGGCTCCATGCAAGATCTCACCTCGTGGGGCATCAATTATCATGAGGAAGGTGAGGGATCAGCCCAGAACTACACGGCAGGACCTGGTCAATGACCTGAAGAGAGCTGGGACCACAGTCTCAAAGAAAACCATTAATAACACACTACGCCGTCATGGATTAAAATCCTGCAGTGCACGCAAGGTCCCCCTGCTCAAGTCAGCGCATGTCCAGGCCCGTCTGAAGTTTGCCAATGACCATCTGGATGATCCAGAGGAGGAATGGGAGAAGGTCATGTGGTCTGATGAGACAAAAATAGAGCTTTTTGGTCAAAACTCCACTCGCCGTGTTTGGAGGAAGAAGAAGGATGAGTACAACCCCAAGAACACCATCCCAACCGTGAAGCATGGAGGTGGAAACATCATTCTTTGGGGATGCTTTTCTGCAAAGGGGACAGGACGACTGCACCGTATTGAGGGGAGGATGGATGGGGCCATGTATAGCGAGATCTTTGCCAACAACCTCCTTCCCTCAGTAAGAGCATTGAAGATGGGTCGTGGCTGGGTCTTCCAGCATGACAACAACCCGAAACACACAGCCAGGGCAACTAAGGAGTGGCTCCGTAAGAAGCATCTCAAGGTCCTGGAGTGGCCTAGCCAGTCTCCAGACCTGAACCCAATAGAAAATCTTTGGAGGGGGCTGAAAGTCCGTATTGCCCAGCGACAGCCCCGAAACCTGAAGGATCTGGAGAAGGTCTGTATGGAGGAGTGGGCCAAAATCCCTGCTGCAGTGTGTGCAAACCTGGTCAAGACCTACAGGAAACGTATGATCTCTGTAATTGCAAACAAAGGTTTCTGTACCAAATATTAAGTTCTGCTTTTCTGATGTATATCAAATACTTATGTCATGCAATAAAATGCAAATTAATTACTTAAAAATCATACAATGTGATTTTTCTGGATTTTTGTTTTAGATTCCGTCTCTCACAGTTGAAGTGTACCTATGATAAAAATTACAGACCTCTACATGCTTTGTAAGTAGGAAAACCTGCAAAATTGGCAGTGTATCAAATACTTGCTCTCCCCACTGTATGTTCTTTAATGCAGGGCCGACAGACAAGTTCCTTACTTTTTCCCCCTTCCACTTTCCTCTTCCATTTTTGCGGTAATGCTGCAATTATTTGGTTGTAATTTTGGGTAGAGCAGACATTTCTATATGTTTTTGTTAGCTGCATGTGCGACATAACTCCACCAGTCCTACCTATTATATATTTTATGAAAATTGTGCCTTTTTTTATTTTTATATAAAAAAATACTGGCTTTTTATCAACTAGTATATTTGAGTTTAACCACAATATTTGTTGCATTATTTGTTCTGTCGTTTTTGGAGGATTAAATTGAAATTGCAACCAACTTTCTATGGCTTGTTTTAGAAATAGTGATATTTGGGAGATGATTTCCTTTTCAAATAACTGAAAGTGAGAGGTTGTAATCTGAATAAAGGGGAAAAAAAGCCATTCTTGAACATGGGGTGAGACAATCTTACTAATTTGATAGAGAACCAGTTCGGATTTAAGTATAACTTTTGTATGATTGAAGCTTTTAGTGAGAGGTCTAATGCTTTAATATTTAATAATTTCTGTCCTCCGAATTCATATTCATTATATAAATAGGCCCGTTTAATTTTGTCTGGCTTGCCAAATATTTTTTTCTCATATAATTTAAAAAACTGTTCGCTAGGTGTAGGCAAGAACATAGGCAAATAGGTAAACTGGGATAATACTAAAGAGTTAATCAGGGTGATTTTTCCACAAATAAACAGGTATTTATCTTTCCATGGTAGCAAGATCTTATCTATTTTTGCTAACTTTCTATTAACATTTATTGGAGTGAGATCATTTATTTCATTTGGGATATGTATTCCGAGTATATCCACATCACCATCAGACCATTCTATTGGTAAACTACATGGTAATGTAAAAATTGTATTTTTTAGTGATCCAATACGTAATATAGTACATTTATCATAATTTGGTTGTAATCCAGAGAGGTTAGAAAATGTATCTAGATCCTCTATGAGGCTGTGGAGGCAATTCAGTTTTGGATTTTTAAGAAAACATTAATCATCAGCGTACAATGACACCTTTGTTTTTAAGCCCTGGATTTCTAATCCCTTGATATTATTGTTGGATCTGATTTTAATAGCTAACATTTCGATGGCCATAATAAATAGATATGCCGATAGTGGACAACCTTGTTTTAGTCCTCTTGACAGTTTAAAACTTTCTGAGAAATAGCCATTATTTACTATTTTACACCTAGGGTTACTATACATGATTTTAACCCATTTTATAAGAGATTCTCCGAAATCCAAATGCTCCAGGCATTTATATATAAACTCCAGTTGTACTTTATCAAAAGCATTTTCAAAGTCTGCTATGAATACCAGGCCTGGTTTCCCAGATTTTTCATAGTGTTCTATTGTTTCCAATACTTGCCTTATATTATCTCCAATGTATCGTCCATGTAAAAAACCTGTCTGATTAGAATGAATAATGTCCGACAATACCTTTTTAATTCTATGCGGTATACATTTTGCACATTGTTACAACACTGTATACAGACATAATATGTTTATTTCACTTTTGTTTATGATCTATTTCACTTGCTTTGGCAATGTTAACATATGTTTCCCATGCCAATAAAGCCCTTAAATTGAAATTGAGAGAGAGAGACCGAGGCGGAGAGAGACAAAGATTGAGAGAGACAGAGACAGAGAGACAGAGAGAGAGAGAGAGACAGAGGGAGAATATATAGTATAATTTACATTTTACATTTTTAGTCATTTAGCAGATGCTCTTATCCAAAGAGACTTACAGTTAGTGAGTGCATACATTTTTTCATACTGGCCCCCCGTGGGAATCGAACCCACAACCCTGGCGTTGCAAGCGCCATGCTCTGCCAACTGAGCTACACAGGATATAATACATTCCATTTAGCAGATGCTTTTCTTCCACTAATTCCACATCCAGGCCAGCATAAACACTAGGTACATCTATAATGGTTAAGTCTATAGAAAACAAGATTCATTCTTTAACCTTTGAACAAAGATTAGTTTTATCTTCCTCTTTTGGCTACACAGGAAGCCCAATTCTGATAATTGTATTCCCACTAATTTGTCTGTTGACCAATCAGATCAGCTCTTTTGCCTATAATTGGGTAAACGATCAGAATTGGTCTGCCTGTGTAAACGCAGCCACCTAGACTTTCCCCCCCACCAGGGTGACACCAGTGTTTTATGTTAATGTTATCTCTAGTGTTGTTGTGTTTTCATCAGGAGTGTGACACTAAAGACTTGTGGCGAGCAGAATCAACCTCTCCATCATTCAAGACCGTTGCTTTTGTGAGAAGGTGTTAAAAGTCCACAGTTAGCCATTGTTAAGTAAATGCCAGCGGAAAAGTACCCAGGGCCTTGCCTTTGCTCCAAATCAGAGCAGGTCGGCCGGAGCCATGGCCCAGTGAGACACGGGAGCAGATAGAAACAGAAAAGTCTGGGCCTTTTGGGTAAAACACTGGGGATAAAACACTGGGGTTAAAACACTGGGGTAAACCCTCATTGGAAATGTGTCATTAGAGAGCTTTTCAGAGAGACTTTCAGCGATAGAGCTACCCAGGTGGGTAATTGTCCCGTATTAGGTTATATCTGTCAAGTTCAACGACCCTGAAGAACGTATGACTTGTACACCGTTCACCATCTTCTCAGTAGATACGACTTGACTCAAGTCTACACTGGTGTCAGTGTAATTACAAGATTACTTATTTTAACTTTGAAACAAAGATCAGTTTTCTTTTCATCTCTAACTTTCATCTCAGAGAGAGGGAGAGAGAGAGCGAGAAACAGAGAGGGCGTGTGTGAGAGAGATAACCCCCATGGTTTTACGGAAAAACCCCCAAAGCTCCTAAATTTGGGTTCCAGGGGTTTTTGGTACCATGTTTGACTCCCTTTTGGGCAGACAGAGATCGATCGGGACAGCCCCGGGGTGGCACTAAAAAGAAAAAAATCTTTTTAAAAAAAAAACAATTTAATTAAAAACCCCGGGAATGTTTCATTAAAAACCCATTGGGTGGCACTGAATAAAATAAAAACAATTACAAACTTTTATATTCATATTTTCCTTCCTGCTTTATAATCACTAATAGGGAGCCTTATTAAACCCATTTTTTTTAAATCCCAACCTTTAAAAATGGGTGATGCCTGTTTACTCTTTTCAAGCCTTTTGAATTTTTTTAAGCACGTTAAAACCAAAATTTTATTAAAAAATTAAAACGGTGAAAAAATGGTAAAAATTTACTTAAAGGGAAATTTCTTTAAAATTTTTTATCCCAAAGTAATCTTTAAAAACGAAATGCCCAAGGGAAGGAATTCTGTCTTTTTATGTCCCTTTACAGTCCCGTAAAATTTAAAAGGCTGAAACCATCTTATAAAGTTTTTTAAATAAAACCCTTTGGGCAGCGCCCCCCCCAAAGGGAAAAGGCTAAAAAAAAATCTCTATCATTTTTAAAAATAATACCCTGGGCACGTCCCAAATGGCCCTTTTCCCTACAACCCCACTATTTTCCCTTCCCTTTAGCACAAATATGGGGAAGGGGGGCCCCTTTTTGGGGCCCGTAGATTGCTTTTATTTTTGGGTTGCTCCTGACTCACTCACCTCCCCCAGTCCCCCTCTATTAAAAAGTTTTTGAAATTTCCCGGGGGTTTGCCGGCAAAAACCAAAAAACATTAAAAATGAAGACATTAGCTTATAAAACCCCTTTATCGGGGACATTTTAAGGGACACTACTAATTTGGGGGGGGCGGGGGGGGGGGGGGGGTAAAAACCGTCAAAAGGCTCTTTGTAGAGGAAAAAACCACGGTTTTCATGAGACCCCCGGGCCACACAGACAACTTTTAAAGGGAATCTGGGGAACTTAAAATTCAAAAATATTTTTTTTGAAAATTTAATGATGTTTCCCTTTTAGAAAAAAAGTTTGAAAAACCCGGAGGGGAAAAAGGCCGGCGGGACCTTGTAGAACGTCTGAGGGTTCCATTTTTTGGGGTTGGTTTTTCCCATTTAAAATGTCTGTTGCAAATTATTAGACTTTTGTATATTTACCCTTCCAAAAAAAGAACGAAAGTAAAAGGTGGACTTTTTAAAGTTAAAAAACTGGAAGAAAAACCCCTCTTAAAGGGGCAAAACGGGTTCTCCCCATTTCCTCAGTCCTTTGGGTTTCTACAAAAGAGAGAGAGAGAGAGAGGGGGAGAGAGACCAGAGAGAGACACAGACAGAGAAGAAGAAGAGAAGAGAAGAGAGAGAGGGGAGAAAAGGGAGAGAAGTTTAGGAGGAGAGAGAGGAGAAGAGAGAGAGAGAGAAAACGAAACAAGGAGAAGAAGAAGAAAGAACACAGAGAGGGAGAGAGAGACCCGGGAAGAGAGAGAGACAAAAAGAGAGAGGGGACACAAAAGAGAGAGAGAGAAACACCAAAACCGAAGAAGAAACCCAAGAAGAGAGGTGAGAGGGAAAGAGAGAGGGGTTAAGAGAGAGAAAAAGGGGAAGGGGTGGGGGAGGGAGGGAATGGACAGAGGGGAAAGAAAAGGGGAGGGGAGAGAAAAAAGAGAGTAAACCGAGGAGAGCGAGACAAAAGAGAACACGAGGAAACCAAAAGAGAAAGACAAAGGAAGAAGACGAGGAGACAGAGTGAGACGCCCGAGAGAACGAGTGAGACGACGAGAGAGAGACCAGAGAGGGAAGAAAAGGGACACAGAGAAGAGCAGAGCGAAAAAGAGAAAGAGACCAAGAAAACAAGGAGAGACACGAAAAGCACGGAGAGAGGAAAAACCCACAGAGAGAGAAAGGAGAAAAGGAGACACAAAGACAGAAGAAGAACAGGGAGAGAGAGGGGAAAGACACGAAGAGACACAGAGAGAGACACAGAGAGAGGGGACGAGAGATTTTTGACAGGGAAACCCCCAAAGCAAAAATACTGACACAAAAAAATGTACATGTGATTTTAAAGGGGATATGCCCGGGGATCCTGGGGGAATTTTAAAGGGGGATCTTGAGGGGGATATTGAGGGAGTAATGCTTACCTAAATTGGTGAGCAGATAGGCCACCTTTTCATATACCTGATGAAAGAAATACGGTAACACTTGAGAAAGAGCATGACTAAATACAAGCCAGTATTATGTGACATGAATATGTAGCTCAGTTGGTAGAGCATGGCGCTTGCAACGCCAGGGTTGTGGGTTCGTTTCCCACGGGGGGCCAGTATGAAAAATGTATGCACTCACTAACTGTAAGTCGCTCTGAATAAGAGCGTCTGCTAAATGACTAAAATGTAAAAACAAAGATGATATGTACTGAATAATCAGTTGTTATGTGAGACATGAAGATGATATGTACTAAGTAATCAGTTGTTATGTGAGACATGAAGATGATATGTACTAAGTAATCAGTTGTTATGTGAGACAGTGAAGATGATATGTACTAAGTAATCAGTTGTTATGTGAGACATGAAGATGATATGTACTAAGTAATCAGTTGTTAGTGTGACATGAAGATGATATGTACTAAGTAATCAGTTGTTATTTGACATAATGATGATATGTACTAAGTAATCAGTTGTTATGTGACATAATGATGATATGTACTGAGTAATCAGTTGTTATGTGAGACATGAAGATGATATTTACTAAGTAATCAGTTGTTATGTGAACATGAAGATGATATGTACTAAGTAATCAGTTGTTATGTGAGACAGGAAGATGATATGTACTAAGTAATCAGTTGTTATGTGAGACAGGAAGATGATATGTACTAAGTAATCAGTTGTTATGTGAGACATGAAGATGATATGTACTAAGTAATCAGTTGTTATGTGACATGAAGATGATATGTACTAAGTAATCAGTTGTTATGTGAGACATGAAGATGATATGTACTAAGTAATCAGTTGTTATGTGACATGAAGATGATATGTACTAAGTAATCAGTGAGACAACAAGCATCACAAAATAAGCACCCTACACATCTTATACAGTGAATAGGTGAATAATAAGAAAACTCACTCTGAAAACGGTTACACTAGGTATTTTATAACTCTGCAAACTGCAAAATATACGTTTATGTAACTTCAAATATGACTGTGGATCATTCACGCAACACTTGTTGGACTTAAAATACTGTCTGACTGTGCGTATCAGATGGCTTGGGCTTGGTTTGGCCAGACAACCACCGCATTCAGAGACATGGTGATCATTAGGTTCAAATCTGACTGTGGATCAATTATGCAGCGTTATCCTGTACGACTGTGTATCAAGTGGGCTGGTTTGGCCATGTAGTTAAAGGCTGAATCCACAATGACACCCTATTCCCTATATAGTATACTACCTTTGATCAGGGCCCATAGGGAAGGTAGTAGGGTGCAATTTAGGTTGCCATCGAAGTTCAAATCTAACTGTTTATGCAGATGGCTTGGGCTTGGTTTGGCCAGACAACCACCGCATTCAGAGACATGGTGATCATTAAGTTAAAATCTAATAAAGTTATTATTTTCCATTCCATTCCATTCCATTCTATTCTATTCTATTCTATTATGTTCCATTCCATTCCATTCCATTCCATTCCATTCCATGGTTTAGTTTGGCCAGACACCCACCACATTGAGAGACATGATGATCATGAAGTTGATACAGACTCCGGTGCCAGAGGTGGCAAACTGCCAGTTCTTCTTGACAAACTCCCAGCCTAAAGACGCAAACTTCTCCATGGCAATCAGTCGAAACACCACCACCGCAAACACTGCAGTCAGCACCAGAGAGATCTGGGGAGTGGACACACACACATACACACACACAGACAGATAGAGAGTTGCGGAGGGAGAGGCAGAGAGAGGAGAGAGAGAGAGAAGAGATAGATAGAGATATAGAGATAGATGGGATAGAGAGAGATAGAGAGATAGAGAGAGAGGAGAGAGAAGAGAGAGATAGAGAGAGACGACAGACAGACTACACAGAGAGGAGAGAGAGACCGCGACAGAGACGAGAAGAGAGAGAGAGGGCATAGAGAGAGAAGAGATAGAGAGAGAGATACAGACCTACACAGAGATATGAGAGAGAGACAGAGACAGAGACAGAGAGAGAGAGAGAGAGAGAGAGAGAAGAGAGAGGAAATATATCCGTTAGATAAATAGTCATCATTTCTGAGGAATAAATAGATGCATGTTAATGATGCTAGCAGGTTTTTAAGCATTAAGGCCTGAGGGGGTGTGGTATATGGCCAATATACTACGGCTAAGGGCTGTTCTATGCACGACGCAGCGCGGAGTTCCTGGATACAGCCCTTAGCCGTGGTATATTGGCCATATACCACAAACCCCCCGAGGTGCCTATTATAAACTGGTTACCAAAATAAATAGAACAGTAAACAAGTGTTTTTGAGTCATACTGTTGCGTCATATGCTGTTTCAGCCAATCAGCATCCAGGACCCAAACTACCTGGTTTATATAATGGGTCTAGTCTGGGATTGTGTGTTTATTGGTGTTAATTGGTTTATTGGTCATATTTGTCATATTTGAAAAACAATGAATCATTGTTACATGTCACAGTCTCTAGACACTTCCTGTTGCTGATGAGTGATGAGGAACATTGGAAAACAATCCCCAACAACAGAGCGTCTGTTGTATTTCTGTCTCCTATCCACCAGGGGGTGGTAGTAGGCAGCCAGAGGCTCATTACTTTATTAGAAGTTGAAAAGGTAGGAAACTAGTAAACAGCATTCCAGGATTGGGGTCAGTTACATCACAATTAATTCAATTTAGAAAGTAAAACAAAATTCCAAATCCAATTTTCTTCATTGCTTTTCAATGAAAGCATTAAAGTTTACTTTCAGAATTGACTGAATTGAAAAAACGGAATCGACCCAAACCCTGCAGTGTGTCCACTGAGGATAGATCCACAGTACAGCCTGATGACTCGTGGTGACATGGTCTTACCATGAAGAAGATGCCGGACACAGAGACCATGAGTCTGCTGAGTTTGTCAGTGAAGGGCTGGAAGGGCTCCGGCTTGCCAGAGATTGGGTTTACTCTTTCCACTCTGGAGTACTTGGCTTCGAACTGGGGACGCAGATTCTCCTGGGACACAAACACACACACACACTCCAGTACATCATATCAATAACTCTGATATTTCTGACTGGTCCAATCATAGATACCCCGACCCAGTCAATACTTGACCATATCATAACTACAGTAGTACAAGTTCATGACATATCATATGTATCAACCAGATATTGCTGACTGAGAAACGCCTGAATACTAGTGTACGTACACGTATGTCTCTGACATATCATATTAATATACCAGATATTGCTGACCAACATCTTCCACTACCCAATCAATAGTTTATAAATGACTTGACCGTATCATACGTGACATAATGACGTTATGTAGTAGTATTATAGTAGTAGTACACATTACTTATCATGTCACATGATATCATATTAATACAGCAGATATTGATGGATAGACCAACCTCTTCCTCCTCCCAGTCGATGAGGTCCCAGTCATAAGTCAGCTCCGCCCTCCTCCTCTTCCAGAATTCCAGGAACACCGTGGCTACAGGGACAACATTCCAACAGAACACGGAACAGGGATCAATCAACATTCCATGGAATGACTTCATTGATTTATTCCAGTATATAGAAAATAGAAACAGATTCATATAATTGCAATGCAGCTTGACAGAAAGAGGGTTCGAGTTACATGTTGTCTCTTGGGGGTTCCCCGACGTCTCTTGAGGGTGCCCATTGTCGATATCTTTGACAATTGTGGGAGGGCCCACGTTGATATTTAAATTCTTGAGGGGTAATAACTCTATGACACATTCCCTAAACACAGAAACATTGGATACACAAGGGAATATGGTGATTTCCAATACCGATGCAAATAGCAATGTTTTTTTAAATCGGCAGCAGAATTTGGCAGAATTTGAGTCCTTCTATGCCTGTTTAATTTAGCAGTCTGCTGTTCAAAGATGTAGTTTAACATGGACTGACCCACTTCTCTGTTTAAAGAGGAGTAGAGGGGGAAGAGCAGCCTTTCAGATGGGCCAACACATTTTTCCTCTGAGCCTCGTGTGCTGCAGGGCTGTTGTCTACACTGCCACTAGAAAACTATGCCACTGTAAAAACCAGCCTGATTGGACATAGCCTTGCTGTCCAGGTTTACACACGTTTGTTCCATACTGATGAACGACACTTGGAAAGATGGCGTTACGAGACCAGAAGGGACCAGACCAGAGACATAAATATAATCTGTATATAAACTTCATCAAACCCACCCAGACAGAACCTCATCTTAGCACCGAACTTGCCTAGCAAACCAAAATTGTTATTGATTGGCAATCAGACAGTCCGTTTGCTCTTTATACAGTGAATGGCTGTGGTCCAGACCTTCCCTGGCTCCAGTCTCCACAGGTCCCCTTGGCCACTCATACACTCACAATAGAGGCTTAATTTACTGTACCCCACTCACACCAGTCACAATAGACTTAATTTACTGTGACCCCAGACAGACACTCAATATAGCCCAGCAAGTTTCCCCTGAACCGGGGTGATTATTCAGCAGACCAGCCTAACTGACAGGGTGATTATTCAGCAGACCAGCCTAACTGACAGGGTGATTATTCAGCAGACCAGCCTAGCTGAAGGGGTGATTATTCAGCAGACCAGCCTAACTGACAGGGTGATTATTCAGCAGACCAGCCTAACTGACAGGGTGATTATTCAGCAGACCAGCCTAGCTGACAGGGTGGTTATTCAGCAGACCAGCCTAATGACGGGGTGATTCAGCAGACCAGCCTAACTGACGGGGGTGATTATTCAGCAGACCAGCCTAACTGACAGGGTGATTATTCAGCAGACCAGCCTAGCTGACAGGGTGGTTATTCAGCAGACCAGCCTAACTGACGGGGTGATTATTCAGCAGACCAGCCTAGCTGACAGGGTGATTATTCAGCAGACCAGCCTAGCTGACAGGGTGGTTATTCAGCAGACCAGCCTAGCTGACGGGGTGAATATTCAGCAGACCAGCCTAGCTGACGGGGTGATTATTCAGCAGACCAGCCTAACTGACAGGGTGATTATTCAGCAGACCAGCCTAGCTGATGGGGTAGTTATTCAGCAGACCAGCCTAGCTGACAGGGTGGTTATTCAGCAGACCAGCCTAACTGACGGGGTGATTATTCAGCAGACCAGCCTAGCTGACAGGGTGATTATTCAGCAGACCAGCCTAACTGACGGGGGGTGATTATTCAGCAGACCAGCCTAGCTGACAGGGTGATTATTCAGCAGACCAGCCTAACTGAGAGGATGATTATTCAGCAGACCAGCCTAGCTGATGGGGTGATTATTCAGCAGACCAGCCTAACTGACGGGGTGAATATTCAGCAGACCAGCCTAGCTGACGGGGTGATAATTCAGCAGACCAGCCTAGCTGACGGGGTGATAATTCAGCAGACCAGCCTAGCTGACGGGGTGATTATTCAGCAGACCAGCCTAGCTGACAGGGTGATTATTCAGCAGACCAGCCTAGCTGACAGGGTGGTTATTCAGCAGACCAGCCTAGCTGATGGGGTGGTTATTCAGCAGACCAGCCTAGCTGATGGATGGATCTATAGCACAGTGTGTTTGGCTGCAGCGGCCTACAGTGAGTTTCCTATTGTTTGTAATGGAGTCAAGGCCTCCGTCTCATAATGCACCCAATTCTCTATATAGTGCACCAGCAGATCGATGGTCCCTGGTCACAAGTAGGTCATTATAAACGAGAACAGGATGCCATTTAGGACACATCCTGGATGTTTTTCCATTTCCTGTCCTGGAGTGTGGAGAGAACAGAGGGAAGATTGCTTTGGATGGGTGTTAGAGAACGATGCTGGGACACAGGCCAACAGCCAGGAGTGGTGTTAGAGAACGATGCTGGGAGACACAGGCCAACAGCCAGGAGTGGTGTTAGAGACGATATGCTGGGACACAGGCCAACAGCCAGGAGTGGTTTTAGAGAACGATGCTGGCACAGCCAACAGCCAGGAGTGGTGTTTAGAGAACTTGCTGGGACACAGGCACAACAGCCAGGAGTGGTGTTAGAGAACGATGCTGGGACACAGGAAACAGCCAGGAGTGGTGTATGAGAACGATGCTGGGACACAGGTCCATAACAGCCAGGAGTGTTTAGAGAACGATGCTGGGACACAGCCAACGCCAGATGTGGTGAGACGATGCTGGGCACAGGCAACGCCGGAGTGGTGTTAAGAGACGATGCTGGGACATAGGCCAACACCAGGAGTGGTGTTAGAACGATCTGGACCAGCCAACAGCCGGAGTGGGTAGAGACGATGGGGACACAGGCCAACGCAGGATGGGTGTTAGAGAACGATGCTGGGACACAGGCCAACAGCCAGGAGTGGTGTTAGAGAACGATGCTGGGACACAGGCCAACAGCCAGGAGTGGTGTTAGAGAACGATGCTGGGAGACACAGGCCCAACAGCCAGGAGTGGTGAATGGTGGTAGAAGAACAGTGGTTATGACCTGGGAGACAGGCCAAACAGCCAGGAGTGGTGTTAGAGAACGATGCTGGGGAGACAGGCCAACAGCCAGGAGTGGTGTTAGAGAACGATGATGGACACAGGCCAACAGCCAGGAGTGGTGTTAGAGAACGATGCTGGGACACAGGCCAACAGCCAGGAGTGGTGTTAGAGAACGATGCTGGGAGACACAGGCCAACAGCCAGGAGTGGTGTTAGAGAACGATGCTGGGAGACACAGGCCAACAGCCAGGAGTGGTGTTAGAGAACGATGCTGAGACACAGGCCAACAGCCAGGAGTGGTGTTAGAGAACGATGCTGGGAGACACAGGCCAACAGCCAGGAGTGGTGTTAGAGAACGATGCTGGGAGACAGGCCAACAGCCAGGAGTGGTGTTAGAGAACGATGCTGGGAGACACAGGCCAACAGCCAGGAGTGGTGTTAGCTAACATCAGTGTGATACTGTACTGTGTGGGTTTTTCCTCTCAAAGAGCGCACACACACACACACACACACACACACACACACACCACACACACACACACACACACAACTTCTCCCTCCTGGGTGTTTCATTGCTAATTACTATTAGACTTAATTAGTAGGGGAGACTGGGGAACAAAGTAACAGTTTTAGAGTTTTACTTAGTATGCAAATAATATTTGATGTAGATTCATAATATTTTTATGCAAACATACATGTCTTAGCTACCATAACACACTGTAAAAAGTTTCTAGGACACACCTGTTGTTTACAATTCAACCAACAGTGGCGGAAATGAAATACCCTCTTGTATTCCTCACGGGGTTAATTGTAACAGGCTGTGGGGGTTAATTGTAACAGGCTGTGGGGGTTAATTGTAACAGGCTGCGGGGGTTAATTGTAACAGGCTGCGGGGGGTTAATTGTAACAGGCTGCGGGGGGTTAATTGTAACAGGCTGTGGGGGTTAATTGTACAGGCTTGCGGGGGGTTAATTGTAACAGGCTGTGGGGGTTAATTGTAACATGGCTGCGGGGGTTAATTGTAACAGGCTGCGGGGGGTTAATTGTAACAGGCTGTGGGGTTATTGTAACAGGCTGCGGGGGTTAATTGTAACAGGCTGCGGGGGTTAATTGTAACTGGCTGTGGGGGTTAATTGTAACAGGCTGTGGGGGTTAATTGTAACAGGACCTGCGGGGGTTAATTGTAAACAGGCTGTGGGGGTTTAATTGTAAACAGGCTGCGGGGTTAATTGTAACAGGCTGCGGGGGTTAATTGTAACAGGCTGTGGGGGTTAATTGTAACAGGCTGTGGGGTTAATTGTAACAGGCTGTGGGGTTAATTGTAACAGGCTGCGGGGGTTAATTGTAACAGGCTGCGGGGGTTAATTGTAACACTGTCTTCAACGGTAAAAAATCATCCAAATATCAGTTTGAAAATACACTACATTAAAAAATATATATATATTTGAGTAATGACATGGACCGCATGTATATGTTTGCACAAAAAAAAAAAAAATCTCCCATGTCTTATTAGGTAAATGATAAAGACAAGGAGAAGTGGAATCATTCACATTCTAGATGTATTTTAAAGTGAATTGGTTTCGTAGACAGTTTTACTTTCTACTGTATGTATAACGCTCTCTAGCTATTGCAGGTGAAGAAGTTATTTGGTTGTTTTGGAACTCTAAAAGGATAAACTTTGCTATAAACAGATTCAATCTGTTACAGTTGTGTAACGGTAAATGGTGCATGTGTGTGTGTGTGTGTGTGTATTTGCCCTCAAATGATTGAAAATAACCAAATCTATTGTGCCGTTGGATCATGCAACTGAGCGACTATATCCAATCAGTTATTTTTTTAAGCTTTAGGGACTCCAAATACACAGAACAAAAATTTTAAACGCAACAGATTTCAAAGATTTTACTGAGTTACAGTTCATATAAGGAAATCAGTTAATTGAAATAAATTAATTAGGCCCTAATCCAGGGTTCTTCAATTCCGGTCCTGGAGGGCCAAAACAATTCTGTTTTTTATTTCTACCTGGTAGTTAATTGCACTCACCTGGTGTCCCAGGTCTGAATTAGCCCCTGATTAGAAGGAGAGGATGAAAAACAGAGGTGTTTCGGCCCTCCAGGACCGGAATTGAAGAACCCTGCCCTAATCTATGGATTTCACATGACTGGGAATACAGATATGCATCTGTTGGTCACAGACACCTTATAAAGAGGTAGGGGCGTGGATCAGAAAACCAGTCAGTATCTGGTGTGACCAGATCTCCTTCACATAGAGTTGATCAGGCTGTTGATTGTGGCCTGTGGAATGTTGTCCCACTCCTCTTCAATGGCTGTGCGAAGTTGCTGGATCCAGAGCATCCCAAACAGGCTCCATGGGTGACATGTCTGGTGAGTATGCAGGCCATGGAAGAACTGGGAACATTTTTCAGCTTCCAGGAATTGTGTACTGATCCTTGCAACGTGGGGCCGTGCATTTTCATGCTGAAACATGAGGTGATGGCGGCGGATGAACGGCACGACAATGAGCCTCAGGATCTCGTCACGGTATCTCTGTGCATACATATTGCCATCAATAAAATTAAATTGTGTTCGTTGTCCATAGCTTATGCCTGCCCATACCATAACCCCACCGCCACCATGGGGCACTCTGTTCACAACACTGACATCAGCAAACCGCTCGCTCACATGACGCCATCTTCCTGGTACAGTTGAAACCGGGATTAATTTGTGAAGAGCACACTTCTCCAGCGTGCCAGTGGCCACTGAAGTTGATCATTTGCCCACTGAAGTCGGTTATGACGCCAAACTGCAGTCAGGTCAAGACCCTTGTGAGGACGACGAGCACGCAGATGAGCTTACCTGAGACGGTTTCTGACAGTTTGTGCAGAAATTATTCGGTTGTGCAAACCCACAGTTTAATCAGCTGTCCGGGTGGCTGGTCTCAGATGATCCTGCAGGTGAAGAAGCCGGATGCGGAGGTTCTGGGTTGGCGTGGTTACACATGGTCTGTGGTTGTGAGGCCGGTTGGATGCACTGCCAAATTCTCTAAAACGACGTTGTAGAGAAATTAACTTTAAATTCTCTGGCAACAGCTCTGGTGGACATTCCTGCAAACAGAATAGCAACTGCACGCTCCCTCAAAACTTGAGAAATCTGTGGCATTGTGTTGTGTAACAAAACTGCACATGTTAGAGTGGCCTTTTATTGTCCCCAGCACAAGGTGCACCTGTGTAATGAACATGCTGTTTAATCAGCTTCTTGATATGCCACAGCTGTCAGGTGGATGGATTATCTTGGCAAAGGAAAAGGCTAACTAACAGGGATGTAAACAAATTTGTACACAACATTTGAGAGAAATAAGCTTTTTGTGCATATGGAAAATGTCTGGGATCTTTTATTTCAGCTCATGAAACATTAAACCAACACTTTACATGTTGCATTTATATTTTTGTTCAGTGTATCGTTAATTTATACTTTTCCACAGCAGTAATAGAAAAGGCTGAAAGAAAGAAAGAGAGAGAGAGAGAGAGAGAGAGAGAGAGAGAGAGAGAGAGAGAGAGAGAGAGAGAGAGAGAGAGAGAGAGAGAGAGAGAGAGAGAGAGACAGAGAGAGCGAGAGAGAGAGAGAGAGAGAGAGAGAGACAGATAGAGAGAGAGAGAGAGAGAGAGAGAGAAAAAAAAAAACCTGAATAATCTCTTTACCTACCCCATATCGCCATAAAGATTGCAAAGAACACAGTTCCTCCATTGTCGAAGAGATGGGTCACCTTTAGAAAAACAGGGACAGTAACATTATTAGCTAGCTGTTGTGTGATTGATTGATCCTCAGGGACAGTAACAGTATTAGCTAGCTGTTGTGTGATTGATTGATCCTCAGGGACAGTAACAGTATTAGCTAGCTGTTGTGTGATTGATCCTCAGGGACAGTAACAGTATTAGCTAGCTGTTGTGTGATTGATCCTCAGGGACAGTAACAGTATTAGCTAGCTGTTGTGTGATTGATCCTCAGGGACAGTAACAGTATTAGCTAGCTGTTGTGTGATTGATCCTCAGGGACAGTAACAGTATTAGCTAGCTGTTGTGTGATTGATTGATCCTCAGGGACAGTAACAGTATTAGCTAACTGTTGTGTGATTGATCCTCAGGGACAGTAACAGTATTAGCTAGCTGTTGTGTGATTGATTGATCCTCAGGGACAGTAACAGTATTAGCTAGCTGTTGTGTGATTGATTGATCCTCAGGGACAGTAACAGTATTAGCTAACTGTTGTGTGATTGATTGATCCTCAGGGACAGTAACAGTATTAGCTAACTGTTGTGTGATTGATTGATCCTCAGGGACAGTAACAGTATTAGCTAGCTGTTGTGTGATTGATTGATCCTCAGGGACAGTAACAGTATTAGCTAGCTGTTGTGTGATTGATCCTCAGGGACAGTAACAGTATTAGCTAGCTGTTGTGTGATTGATTGATCCTCAGGGACAGTAACAGTATTAGCTAGCTGTTGTGTGATTGATTGATCCTCAGGGACAGTAACAGTATTAGCTAACTGTTGTGTGATTGATCCTCAGGGACAGTAACAGTACTAGCTAACTGTAATAGTACTTCTGTTTACTACAGTACTTAGTACACCTACATCATACAGTATAGCTTTCTATTTATAAACCTGTTAGCTCTAATTCCTCAGGGGTCTTACTAATCTTGGAAGCCACCAAATGTTGTGTGGCTAGCTGGCACATTGATGTAATGGCTCTCAAACTGTTACAAGAGATTAGCATCGAATTGACCTTTGCATAGATACAGCTATTATATTCCACTCTGAGCGAACAGAACAGAACAGAACAGAATAGAATATAATAGAATAGAATAGAATAGAATAGAACAGAACAGAATATAATAGATTCAAGGTCTAATTACTGACCTTTGCATAGACACAGCTGTCACTGAGTTTCCAGGGGTTGCAGTTCTCCTCACACATAGGACACATGATCGTAGTGTTGGCCTCACAGATCTCTTTACTGAAGGGACAGACATAGGATAAGATATACACTACCAGTCAAAAGTTTGGACACACCTACTCATTCAAGGGGTTTTCTTTATTTTTTACTATTTTATACATTTGTAGAATAATAGTGAAGACATCAAAACTATGAAATAACACATATGGAATCATGTAGTAACCAAACAAGTGTTAAACAAATGAAAATATATTTTATATTTGAGATTCTTCAAATAGCCACCCTTTGCCTTGATGACAGCTTTGCACACGCTTGGCTTTCTCTCAACCAGCTTCATGAGGTAGTCACCTGGAATGCATTTCAATTAACAGTTGTGCCTTCTTAAAAGTTAATTTGTGGAATTTATTTCATGCACTTGAGCCAATCAGTTGTGTTGTGACAAGGTAGGAGGGTATACAGAAGACAGCCCTATTTGGTAAAAGACCAAGTCCATATTATGGCAAGAACAGCTCAAATATCAAAGAGAAATGACAGTCCATCATTACTTTAAGACATGAAGATCAGTCAATACAGAACATTTCAAGAACTTTGAACATTTCTTCAAGTGCAGTCGCAAAAACCATCAAGTGCTATGATGAAACTGGATCTCATGAGGACCGTCACAGGAATGGAAGACCCAGAGTTACCTCTGCTACAGAGGATAAGTTCATTAGAGTTACCAGCCTCAGAAATTGCAGCCCAAATAAATACTTCACAGAGTTAAAGTAACAGACACATCTCAACATCAACTGTTCAAAGAGGACTGTGTGAATCAGGCCTTCATGGTCGAATTGCTGCAAATAAACCACTACTAAAGGACACCAATAATAAGAAGAGACCTGCTTGGGCCAAGAAACACGAGCAATTAGAGCAGTGGAAATATGTCCTTTGGTCTGCAGTCCAAATTTGAGATTTTTGGTTCCAACCGCAGTGTCTTTGTGAGACACAGAGTAGGTGAACGGATGATCTCCACATGTGTGGTTCCCACCGTAAAGCATGGAGTAGATGGTGTGATGGTGTGGGGGTACTTTACTTATGACACTGTCTGGGATTTATTTAGAATTCAAGGCACACTTAACCAGCATGTCTACCACAGCATTCTGCAGCGATACGCCATCCCATCTGGTTTGGGCTTAGTGGGACTATCATTTGTTTTTCAACAGTACAATGACCCAACACACCTCCATGCTGTGTAAGGGCTATTTTACCAAGAAGGAGAGTGATGGAGTGCTGCATCAGATGACCTGGCCTCCACAATCCCCCGACCTCAACCAAATTGAGATGGTTTGGGATGAGTCGGACCGCAGAGTGAAGGAAAAGCAGCCAACAAGTGCTCAGCATATGTGGGAACTCATTCAAGACTGTTGGACCAGCATTCCATTATTCTACAACGTCGAAAACATTAAAAAAATAAGAAAAACCCTTGAATGAGTAGGTGATCTAAAACTTTTGACCGGTAGTGTATATACAAGCTGCCAGATCAATAACAATATCACTGAGAGTTGTGGAGGGTCCTGACTGGCACCGTATTCCCTTTTTCAGAGCACCACTTTTGACCAGGGACCTACTATAGTAGGCTCTGTTGTGCACTATAAAGGGAATAGTGTATCATTTGGGATGACCACAGGGGGCTCAGGTCAAAAGTAGCGCACTATAAAAGGAATTGGGTGCCATTTGGGACGCATCCCCCCTGGTGTGGTGTGTCCTGACTGACCTGACTTGACTAGTGTCCATGGTAAGGAGTCCGTAGAGGAAGACGAGGAGTCCCACCAGAGCTGCAGGGATCAGCATGCCAGTGTACCAACCCAGCCAGGCGAAGTACAGCCCAATCTTCTCCCCAAAGTAACGCCTGGAGAGGATGGGAAAGTCCAATGAACTAGATACATTAGAAAAAAGCTCCCCTCTACACGGTTGGGTCGACCTTTAAATTCAGACCCAGCTGTATTTGCATGGTAGTCAACAAGTACTTTGTAACCAACCAGGCAAAGAACAGGCGTGGCAGGGAACAAGTACTTTGTAACCAACCAGGCAAGGAACAGGCGTGGCAGGGAACAAGTACTTTGTAACCAACCAGGCAAGGAACAGGCGTGGCAGGGAACAAGTACTTTGTAACCAACCAGGCAAGGAACAGGCGTGGCAGGGAACAAGTCCAATAAATAGGATAGATTAGCAAAAACTCCCCGACATGGATTGATTCAATTGGACCCATTCAGACCTAGCGGCGGCAGGTAGAGCGTTGGCCCAGTAATGGAAAGGTCACTGGTTCGAATACTCAAGCCGACAAGGTGAAAAATCTGCCGATGTGCCCTTGATCTGTCGACGTGCCCTTGAGCAAGGCACGTAACTCAAATTAGCTAAAACAACACATTTCACTGTACCTATCTGGTGTATGTGACAATCAAACACCATTATTTGACTGACAGGAACGAAGGCCATGAATTTAAATAAGTATATTACGCACACATATCGTGTTTCTACTGTGGGGTGGATGGACGACGAAAAAACGATTAGTAGAAAGTGAAGGAACTCCAGCACTTACAAGTAGGTGACCCTTGGGATGCACAACTAACAATGTGAATGCATCTCACACCAACATTCCGTCAATAGACCTTCATCAGGGTTGAACGAGTCCAACGAACAAGATAGATTAGCAACTTTAAACTGGGGGGTTAAACTTTAAAACTGGGACCTATTTAGAGTCACACCAACAGCTCTATTTCAGATGTGTTTAAATGCAGAGAAAATAGGTCCAATGAACAAGATATAGGCCTATTACCAAAAACCTCATGACTGGAGTGGACTTGTTTAGACCTAGTTGTATGAAATGCAGAGGAAAGAAGTCCCAAACGAGAAGGACAGATTAGCAAAAAACTCCCCGGACTCCCACGGTTGGACCAGATCAGAACTAGCTACTCTATTTAATTCAGATAGGACTCGTGAGAAGGAATGTTAGCCTGGGGTTTCCCCGTGGAGAGGTTATTACATGTCTGGAGAGGAGAAGCCCGGGCTCATTATACAGACTCCACACACACACACACACACACACACACACACACACACACACACACACACACACACACAGGCGCACACCACACACACACACACCACACACACACACACACACACACACACACACACACACACACACACACACACACACACACACACACACACACACAGGCGCACACACACACAGACTCCACACACACACACACACACACACAGGCGCACACACACACACACACACACACACACACACACACAGGCGCACACACACACACACACAGGCGCACACACACACACACACACAGGCGCACACACACACACACACACACACACACACACACACACACAGGCGCACACACACACACACAGGCGCACACACACACACACACACACAGGCGCACACACACACACACAGGCGCACACACACACAAACACACACACACACACACACACACACACACATCTACCTGATAAGGTCGAGAGGCTGGTACTTGTACCACATGCCCCAGCGAGCCCACCTCTCGTACAGCAGGTGTCTGTGGTTCTGGGCGCCGTGGGTCTTAATAGGGTGTTGGCTCTTGTATCCACCCTGAAAACAGAACAGTACAGAACACAGAGAATTCACACGACCGGAAGACAGGTTAGATAGTGACACTAAGCCTAGTTCATACTGTATGGGATGTAGCCAACTCAGGGACGGAAACACAGAACGGCAGAGAATTCACACGAGTGAAAGACAGGTTAGATAGTGACACTAAGCCTAGTTCATACTGTATGGGATGTAGCCAACTCAGGGACGGAAACACAGAACGGCAGAGAATTCACACGAGTGAAAGACAGGTTAGATAGTGACACTAAGCCTAGTTCATACTGTATGGGATGTAGCCAACTCAGGGACGGAAACACAGAACGGCAGAGAATTCACACGAGTGAAAGACAGGTTAGATAGTGACACTAAGCCTAGTTCATACTGTATGGGATGTAGCCAACTCAGGGACGGAAACACAGAACGGCAGAGAATTCACACGAGTGAAAGACAGGTTAGATAGTGACACTAAGCCTAGTTCATACTGTATGGGATGTAGCCAACTCAGGGACGGAAACACAGAACGGCAGAGAATTCACACGAGTGAAAGACAGGTTAGATAGTGACACTAAGCCTAGTTCATACTGTATGGGATGTAGCCAACTCAGGGACGGAAACACAGAACGGCAGAGAATTCACACGACCGGAAGACAGGTTAGATAGTGACACTAAGCCTAGTTCATACTGTATGGGATGTAGCCAACTCAGGGACGGAAACACAGAACGGCAGAGAATTCACACGACCGGAAGACAGGTTAGATAGTGACACTAAGCCTAGTTCATACTGTATGGGATGTAGCCAACTCAGGGACGGAAACACAGAACGGCAGAGAATTCACACGAGTGAAAGAGACAGGTAGACTTATATATCGTATATTACTGGGAGACAGGTAGACACTAGCCTAATCCCATACTTTTGTATCCGCCCCTGAAACAGAAGCAAAGAGCCTCACATAACAGGTGGAGTTCCGGATGAATCAAAAACCTGCCGACTACGCCACATGTAACACACCCAACGAGGGGTATGACTAGACAGCATTTATATTTTAATCATTTAGTAGATGCTCTTATCGAGAGGGGCTAACAATGTTCTTACCTCGTGAGGAGGAAATGCAGCCTCATATGTCCCATTGCCCAGTAACCGATTAATACCTACAATAGAAGAAGAGAAGAAAAAAAACACACTTTAGCAGAAGCACTAACAGAGACTGGAAAATGAAGTCATATTTATTTCCCTTCCCAAGACTCAAATCATTGCTAGACCCAATCACCATTACGCAGCGGCCTCCAGTGAGGATTCTATCTAAAGCGTTCACAGTTCTAATAATGATTACCATACCTCATTATATAAGAGAGGAGCTCAATGACGAGCTAGTTATGTTCGTTGGCATTAGCCCCCCCCCCCCCCCTGGGTGTGGTGATAGAAGTTTGAATTGGCTCTCAGCCTCTTGCACTTGATAATTGCGTCCTCTGTTACTGTCAGACGGAGCATAGCCTCGGAAATCCTAGACCTAGGGCAACTGCATTAGCTGGGTATTCTGCTGGAACATTGTTAATGTGGGAGGCAACCCGTCTCCCTAGGAAGACTAGGTGGAGTATGGTGGTCTCTGTAGCAGGCTAGTCACAGTATAGCCTGGAATACAAAACTGAGGGGTATACTACAAAAACAGGATCAATGAGTTAGCCGGGTAACTTTGATAAAACAACCAGAAATAACTTTAGATTTTCCGATTCATTCATAACGCTAAACATATATCTGTGTTTTTGATTGTTGAGTCAATTAGACCATGACCATGTCAAGCGCATCTTTAAAAAAAAAAAAAACGCTATTTCAGAACATACAGTGGGGAAAAAAAGTATTTAGTCAGCCACCAATTGTGTAAGTTCTCCCACTTAAAAAGATGAGAGAGGCCTGTAATTTTCATCATAGGTACACGTCAACTATGACAGACAAATTGAGGAAATTTTACACCAAGTCACTTGGCTCTGTCATATCCTCACCTATCATTGCTGCTACGCTGCTACGCTGACGATACACAACTAATCTTCTCCTTTCCCCCTTCTGATAACCAGGTGGCGAATCATATCTCTGCATGTCTGGCAGACATATCAGTATGGATGACGGATCACCACCTCAAGCTGAACCTTGGCAAGACGGAGCTGCTCTTCCTCCCGGGGAAGGACTGCCCGTTCCATGATCTCGCCATCACGGTTGACAACTCCATTGTGTCCTCCTCCCAGAGTGCGAAGAGCCTTGGCGTGACCCTGGACAATACCCTGTCGTTCTCCGCTAACATCAAGGCGGTGACCCGATCCTGCAGGTTCATGCTCTACAACATTCGGAGAGTACGACCCTGCCTTACACAGGAAGCGGCACAGGTCCTAATCCAGGCACTTGTCATCTCCCGTCTGGATTACTGCAACTCGCTGTTGGCTGGGCCTGTGCCATTAAACCCCTACAACTCATCCAGAATGCCGCAGCCCGTCTGGTGTTCAACCTTCCCAAGTTCTCTCACGTCACCCCGCTCCTCCGCACACTCCACTGGCTTCCAGTTGAAGCTCGCATCTGTTACAAGACCATGGTGCTTGCCTATGGAGCTGTGAGGGGAACGGCACCTCCGTACCTTCAGGCTCTGATCAGTCCCTACACCCAAACGAGGGCAATGCGTTCATCCACCTCTGGCCTGCTGGCTCCCCTTCCTCTGCGGAAGCATAGTTCCCGCTCAGCCCAGTCAAAAACTGTTCGCTGCTCTGGCACCCCAATGGTGGAACAAGCTCCCTCACGACGCCAGGACAGCGGAGTCACTCACCACCTTCCGGAGACATTTGAAACCCCACCTCTTTAAGGAATACCTGGGATAGGATAAAGTAATCCTTCTACCCCCCCCCCCCCCCCCCTCTTAAAAAAAATAATAATTGTAAAGTGGTTATCCCACTGGTTATAGGGTGAATGCACCAATTTGTAAGTCGCTCTGGATAAGAGCGTCTGCTAAATGACGTAAATGGAAATGGAAATGGAAAAAAAATCCAGAAAATCACATTGTAGGATTTTTTATGAATTTATTTGCAAATTATGTTGGAAAATAAGTATTTGGTCACCTACAAACAAGCAAGATTTTTGGCTCTCACAGACCTGTAACTTCTTCTTTAAGAGGCTCCTCTGTCCTCCACTCGTTACCTGTATTAATGGCACCTGTTTGAACTTGTTATCAGTATAAAAGACACCTGTCCACAACCTCAAACAGTCACACTCCAAACTCCACTATGGCCAAGACCAAAGAGCTGTCAAAGGACACCAGAAACAAAATTGTAGACCTGCACCAGGCTGGGAAGACTGAATCTGCAATAGGTAAGCAGCTTGGTTTGAAGAAATCAACTGTGGGAGCAATTATTAGGAAATGGAAGACATACAAGACCACTGATAATCTCCCTCGATCTGGGGCTCCACGCAAGATCTCACCCCGTGGGGTCAAAATGATCACAAGAACGGTGAGCAAAAATCCCAGAACCACACGGGGGGACCTAGTGAATGACCTGCAGAGAGCTGGGACCAAAGTAACAAAGCCTACCATCAGTAACACACTACGCCGCCAGGGACTCAAATCCTGCAGTGCCAGACGTGTCCCCCTGCTTAAGCCAGTACATGTCCAGGCCCGTCTGAAGTTTGCTAGAGTGCATTTGGATGATCCAGAAGAGGATTGGGAGAATGTCATATGGTCAGATGAAACCTAAATATAACTTTTTGGTAAAAACTCAACTTGTCGTGTTTGGAGGACAAAGAATGCTGAGTTGCATCCAAAGAACACCATACCTACTGTGAAGCATGGGGGTGGAAACATCATGCTTTGGGGCTGTTTTTCTGCAAAGGGACCAGGACGACTGATCCGTGTAAAGGAAAGAATGTATCGTGAGATTTTGAGTGAAAACCTCCTTCCATCAGCAAGGGCATTGAAGATGAAACGTGGCTGGGTCTTTCAGCATGACAATGATCCCAAACACACCGCCCGGGCAACGAAGGAGTGGCTTCGTAAGAAGCATTTCAAGGTCCTGGAGTGGCCTAGCCAGTCTCCAGATCTCAACCCCATAGAAAATCTTTGGAGGGAGTTGAAAGTCCGTGTTGCCCAGCGACAGCCCCAAAACATCACTGCTCTAGAGGAGATCTGCATGGAGGAATGGGCCAAAATACCAGCAACAGTGTGTGAAAACCTTGTGAAGACTTACAGAAAACGTTTGACCTGTGTCATTGCCAACAAAGGGTATATAACAAAGTATTGAGAAACTTTTGTTTTTTGACCAAATACTTATTTTCCACCATAATTTGCAAATAAATTCATTAAAATCCTACAATGTGATTTTCTGGATTTTTTTTTCTCATTTTGTCTGTCACAGTTGACGTGTACCTATGATGAAAATTACAGGCCTCTCATCTTTTTAAGTGGAAGAACTTGCACAATTGGTGGCTGACTAAATACTTTTTTCCCCCACTGTATTGGCAAGTTAGCTGGCTAACTCCTTGATCCTTCTTTGTAATATACCCCTTTGATATGCTTAGTTTCAGAGAATCTCAGTTTGGATCCCAGGATACAATGCTGCAGGGTTTCAGGTCAAATAGGGGCTCATTACCCACAAGGCATTATCATAACATAATAATTGTCTCGCATTCAGATAGCGTGACGGCTCCGTCTGCACTGACCTACAGTAAGACGATGAGATAGGTACGCTCCTCTTCCAGAGATCACATCCACGCAGGAAAGTTTGATCACTAGAAGCAGTTGATCACTATAACTGCATTCACTATAAGCGGATTGCACTGTACATAGGCTGCTTCTTACATTATCAATGGATGAAATGCTGAGACAATGCAGCATCGTTACTGCTGTTAGTATGGAAACCATGGAGACAACCACAGACACATAAGATCACAATGGGTCAACAAGCAACACGACTACGAAGGACAACATAGTTAACGACACAGTCAACAACAAAAAAATCTCACTCTAAAT